TTATTATTCATCGTCTCGACGTGTCCGGCGTTCTTTTTCTAACTCTTTTTTTTCATTCATTTTTTTTACTGTGCAAACCGTTTTTTAACGCCACCGCGTATGCCGTCCGCGTGACGAGCGATCATCACTTGCGTTCGCGGCCGAATCGTTTCGGTTTCGTTATCGCACGAAAAAAAACGCTCGGTCGTAAATCGACCGTGACGCGTCGGAATCGTATGGATTTGAAAATATTGCTTCGCCCGGACGGAACAATGTTCGACAACGTTATACGCGCGGCGCACCCATCGTTTCTCTCGTCACTGCGAACGCGATAACCAGTAAATAACACCAGTTGCTTCCGCAGCGCATAGCGAAAACGGTACACGATCGATATTCCTTCTTCATCCGAAACGGTCGTTCGAACGTTTATGCTCCGCGGATATTGTAACCGGCCATACGACATGATCGCTATGGTCTTGCTAAAGCACTTGCTTGTAGAATTAGCGCTAAAACTAACATTTCGTACAAATATTTAAAAATGTCAACAATCCATATTATACAATATCCATAAAAATAAATTTATACGAATCGGTTGATTTTTTTAATCCGACTTATTTCACCGTCGTAGCATTTCTCCCGTTGTACAATTATGTCTTCGTGAGGTATCCTTGATCGAGCCACATAAATGACGGTGATATGGTTAATTTCAGCTCACGTTCCAGATGGAAACATACTACAATGAACGTATGTTGGTAAAACGTAATTTGCAAAAAGCATCAGATATTTCGATAGAAAAGTGAAAAGAACAAAAAAAAAAAAAAAAAATAAAGGAAAACGATTTTGACGCTTTCTTACGATACGATTTTTTTATTCTCATCTCTGGGGCGTTCCACAGAGTCCGCAAGCTACCGAGAACTGCCCGTCATCGTCTTCGTCCCCTTCGCACGGGCTGCGGACGCCGCGTTGTTCTTACGCGGCCGTCGGCCGTACCCGCGCGTGTCACGGCCACGGGTGTTCGAACAATGTGAGTGCGACGGATCGTGTTCGGTATTACGTATCTAAACAGCTGTTGTGCGGACGTGAAAGACGTTTCGAGTTGACTCGTGAAAACGACGTCGAATGGCGGTCGAACGACGCGACTATGAGATGACTGCGGCGCGGCGCCAGCGGACCGTGTGAAAGTACGATCGCCGACCGAGTGCCCTCGGACACGACCCGTGAAAACGTTACGTCGCGGGCCATTAGTGTCCAGCGGTAACGGAACGCTATTGTTATTTCCATCGCGTCCGTCGGGCCCTTAGTTGACGGAGGGCTTTTCCGACGTGCGTTTCGCTCAACCCCTTCCACATCCGTCGCTACGAGGGAGGGGTGGCTGCCTGAAAATCTTTTCGCCCGGCGCATACGATTTTCGCGACACTCCGTCGCGTATCAACCCCTCCTCCCGTATACAGATTGCCGAACGAACGATTCCAACCGATCGTCTTTGTGACCGATCACCGTCAACTTTGATTTCGTTCGTGACCAACGCCACTGTTGGTCGCGTTACCGTCACGTTTCCGACACACGCGTACAGGATGAAATGTTACTAAAATCAGCTACTCCGCAAACATCACGTAACACAATAACAATTTTCGTTGTTATTATTTTTACTCTGCAATCATTGCTACCGTTTCGTGAACGCATACGTTGAAACCCATAGGCCGTGTCAAATATTTTTTTTTTTTAATACAGGCCGATTTTTGTTTTTATAATCCGTTGAAATGCGCGAAGCGAACGGCCTCCATCATATGCTCATGTCCTTCGCATGCGCACAGGTGCCGCAACATCCTTGTTTCACGTCGGTCTAAAGCGTTACTCCTCGTGCGTTCTCGTTCCCACGCAAATTTCCATGCGTACTCCACCGCGTGCGCTAATATTATCCCAATACCCGATCTCGTGTCGTGTGCGATGCGAGCGCACGCATACACGCACACACACACACACACCAGCACAATTAAATAGTTTCGTGATCCTAGTTGATATCACCGCCCAGAAGAATTGGATTATGTTTACGACCGTTGCGTCACGCGTTAGCCGTTCATTTAAATTTTTTGTTTTTTCATAAAATCCGAAACGCCGACGTACGATCGTGTCTTACTACTGTACCAACCGGCTGTCAGTGTACGACGCGACCGTTGTCGGCGCGGGCGCACCCGAAACTGTATCCTTTTTGCACTGACACGGTTGTATTCTCGGTTCGTTGCAGAATGCAATTGCAACGGGTTCTCTCACCGATGCTTCTTCGACAAGGATCTGTACGACCGGACCGGACACGGCGGACACTGTCTAGACTGCACCGGTAACCGGGACGGGACGAACTGCGAGCGGTGCCGGGAGAACTACTACCAGAGGAAAGGGGACACGCATTGTTCGCCGTGCGAATGCGACCCGGTCGGTGAGTAGCGACGATCGGCTTAGACCGACGAAAGGACGTAATAACGCGTGTGCGCGTTCCCCAGGGTCGTGGAGCTTGCAGTGCAACGGCGAAGGGAAATGCCAGTGTCGCGCCGGCGTCACCGGCGACAAGTGCGACCGCTGCGCTGACAATCATTTCGACTTCAGCACGACCGGGTGCAAACCTTGCGGTTGCAACGTGGCCGGCAGTCTGGACAACGAGCCGAGGTGCGAAGCCGAGAACGGGAATTGCATTTGCAAGGAGAATGTCGAGGGCATCCAGTGCAACAAGTGGGTACTCGATATCGTACGCGGTCCGTTACGACGCGGATCACGACGACGTTATTCCTTAGCGGAAAGGGCGACATTTTTTTTTATATCGAATATTCATCATCCGCGACCGATTCCGTTCTAATCGACGTTTCGTCACGTAGGTGTAAGCCCGGGTTCTTCAACTTGGACGAAGAGAACGAGTTCGGTTGTACGCCTTGTTTCTGTTACGGCCATTCTTCGGTGTGCCAGTCCGCCTCGGGTTATTCGAGAGGTAATTTGACGTTGGTCACTCCGCACGAACCGAGTACATTTTTACATTGATTTTTCGTTATTTACGCGTGCGTTTCCAGTTTCGGTTGAGAGCGTGTTCGCGAGGGGCAACGAACGTTGGAACGGTTCGGACCAGTATGGTAGAACAATATTGCCGGTTCACAGTCCGTTCAAACAGTCCTTGGAAATTTCTTCGCCGTCCAGAGACTCCGTGTACTTCCTGGCACCGGGTAAATATAACGAATGCTGTTCAAATGCTCAAACATGAACATCGGTTTACAATCAATATTGCAGATAAATTCCTCGGTGATCAACGATCCAGTTACAATCACGATTTGACTTTCAAACTGAGTATCGGTGAAAACAGCCCCGAACCAAAAATAAACGACGTTATTTTGGAAGGTGGTTCCGGTCTTCGTATCACACAAGCGATCTTTGGACAAGGAAACCAATTGCCTTCTGACACGGTAAATATTTTTCATTGTTCGATTTTAACAATTATTCATTGTGAAATTATTCAATATGGATAGCCAAAAATGTATAAATTCCGTCTGCACGAGAATCCGGACTATGGTTGGCAGCCTAGATTGTCTGCGCGTGACTTTTTCAGTGTCTTATCTAATTTAACGGCGATTAAAATACGAGGAACATATTCCGATAGAGGTACGTCCTCTTAAGAGCAAACGACTTTATAACGCGATGTAAATTAATTTAAAATTACCTTTCGGATAGGTGTCGGATTCTTGGACGATTTCTCACTCCAAACAGCTAGGCGAGGTGCTCCGGGATTACCAGCCAATTGGGTTGAGATGTGTACGTGTCCCGAAGGATATATTGGACAGTTCTGCGAATCGTGTGCACCGGGTTCTCGTCACGAACCTACTAGCGGTGGTCCTTTCTCACCATGTGTTCCGTGTAACTGTCACGGACATGCCTCTATCTGTGACGCAGATACCGGTAATTTATTTGTTTTTTTTTTATTCCGTAAACGTGTGCTGTACATCTGATCTTATCGGCCGAGGAAAATGTCGAAAAAACAAATGAAAACATTTGAAATGATTTATGCAGGACGGTGTATTTGCCAGCACAACACCGCGGGAGAGAATTGCGACAGGTGCGCAAAAGGATATTACGGCAATGCACTACAAGGGACCGCTTATGATTGTAAACTGTGTCCGTGCCCAAACCAAGGAAGTTGTGTTTTGATTGGAGAGGATACAGTTATTTGTTTGGAATGTCCCAAAGGATACGGAGGTAAATCAATATTGTTTGCCACTATTTCTGTCCGTCCAAGCTTATACATCGTACGTTTTTCAGGTCCTAGATGTGATATTTGTAGCGATGGGTACTTTGGCGATCCAACTGGAAAGAACGGACCAATTAGCATTTGTAAGCCATGTGATTGTAATTCTAACGTGGATCCAAATGCAATCGGAAATTGCAACCGTACGACCGGTGAATGTCTTAAATGTACTTATAACACAGGAGGACCGCAATGTGATCAATGTTTACCAGGTACACCACAGTAGTTCTTCGAAATCAAATGTCGTTCAATATAACCGTTTATTCATTCGATACTTGGACGCTAATATTATTGTCAATATCATTTTCTAGGGTATTTTGGAGACGCTCTTGATCCCGAGAAAGGAGATTGTAAACCTTGTGACTGCTATCATCTCGGAACTACCGAGACTGGATTCGGGCCATTAGCTTGTGATCAGTTAAATGGACAGTGCCAATGTAAGCCACACGTAACCGGAATAAACTGTGATCAATGCGAAGTTGGATATTTCAATATAGCCAGTGGGGATGTAAGCCATGCGCGGAAAATACTAAAACCTATACACAGTCACGTTTAAACACAACAAACGATTTCAGGGCTGTCAATCTTGTGGATGTGATCCGATCGGTTCTGTCAATAATACTTGTGATACGTTCTCCGGCCAGTGCGTATGTCGACCTGGAATAACAGGCAAGAAATGCGATTCATGCGAACCGTTCCATTACGGATTTTCGGTTGAAGGATGTAAACCGTGTGCTTGCGATTCAATCGGTTCTATATCATTACAGTGTGATGCAAATGGGCAATGTCCAGTAAGTTTTTAGTTGTGGATTTCGAAATTGACATTACTACAATTAATTCAGTTTTTATTTTTTTATAACTTTAGAATTCTTCAAAATAATATAAATTTATAATTTAAAACTAATGTACACATTTTTTTTGCTAAAAAAAAAAACTAAATATTTTAATATGCAATATAACCGTATTGTAAATATTAAAAATATTAAAAAGAAAGAATAATCTCTTTCTGGATAAATTGAAATGTTTAATTACTTGAGTTTATATTTTAGTGTATGGAAAATGTGGAAGGAAGACGTTGCGACCAATGTAAAGAGAATAAATATGATAGACAAAGAGGTTGTGTGGATTGTCCAGCTTGTTACAACTTAGTTCAGGATGCTGTTGGTGCACATCGTGAAAACTTAAGAAAATTGGAAAAAGTCTTGAAAGATATCAACAACAATCCAACTGTCATTAATGATGCAGACTTTGAACAGAAGTTAGCAGAAGTACAACTGTACGTGAATCAGTTAGAAAAAAATGCCAAGTTGGCTACTGGTGGTATGTGTTAAACACTTTTAAATCTTATGTTAATATGTATACTACATATATCTTATAATATAATGGGTTCAATTGATGAATTCTGTATGTGCGTATTACAGGTAATGTACCAACAAGTGACAAGTTAGATTCTCTACAGGAAAAAATAAAAGAAATTCAAGATCTAATGGCACAAACAAATAGCTGGAAGGCTACAGCTGAAGAAAATTCTTTACAAGCAGAAAAAAATATTATGGCTATAGAAAAAATGAATGAGGAAACTGCCAATACTTTAAAAAATGCAATGGACTATATTCAAACGGAAGGAGCCACAGCGCTTGCAAAAGCAATATCGAAGAGTGAAGAACTTGGTCAACAAAGTGATCAAATGTCCGAGATAGCGAGGGAAGCAAGAACATTCGTAGAGATGTAAGTTAAATTTTCAAATAATTCTTAGGAATTATAGAGTATAAAATTTAAAAAAAATCAATTTTAGGAAAGAGGAAGAAATAGAAAAAATGAAAGCTATCGCAGATAAAGCCATAAACATATCCGCTGAAGCTCATGAAATTACCAAGAATGCCATAAATCAGCAGAAAAATATTAGGTATTATAGAATAATTTACATATGTTCGTTTAAATGTTATAAGTTACGAGATAATATTTATGTATATTTATTTAGCGATGAATTAAAAGATTTGGATACCGAGTTTAACTACGTAAAAGATAAATTATTGGTCGAAATTATTGGACAAGCGAATGAAGCTCAAGAATCGGTATCAATGATCAATAACGACTCATTGACAATATACCGTGATATTTATGCAATCAATCTACCAGATATTAATTTAGCTGATTTAAAGCAAAATATTTCCAATTTAAATGCTGAAGTAAGGATAGACATTTCAATATGTTTTTTTTTTTAAAATTTTACACTAATAGAAATCACAAAAATATTATTTTACAGTCACAAAAAATCAAAGACGATTTGAAATTGCAAAAAGACAATGATAATATTGCAAACCTTCTAATGGAAGTAGCCGAAGGATTGCAACAGTCAGAGCTTACATTGCAGCAAGGTGAATTACAGCAAAAACAAAGAGAAAGTATCATGGCCCAAGCAAATGCATCTTTTGAAAAAGCAGATCAAGCAGTGAAGTTAGGCGTCAGGATTAAGGAAGAAGCTCAGCAAACACTGAGCACACTTCAAGGTGAGGATAAAATAGTTGATATATAATTTGAAACGGTTTGTTTAATCGAACGTGGAAATTTTAGCTTTCGATAAACAAGTACAAGATAGTAAAAAAAATGCCACAGAAGCATTAGAACAAGTTTCTGAAATCAAACAGTTGATACAAGAAGCTGATGATAAGACTATCAGGGCTCAACAAGCTCTAGCTGGAGCCGAAGTAAGCGCTACAAATGCCAGGGACATTGCCCAACAAGCACAAAATACATATGCCGAACAAGCAGGAAAGGTATGTCTGTATAATAAAAGGATTTCTTCAAGTGAGTTTCATGGTGTTTTTTTTATAACTATAACAATAGGAAGCAAATAAGATTAAAGATGCTGCTGAAGAAATGTTGTCTGAAGCTCATAAACTAAACGATGAAAGTGACGGATTAGAAAAAAGAGTCGAATACACTGCAGAACGCTTGAAAACCGTCGAAAGCCAATTCGAACAAGACCAGGAAAGCATTAACGAAGTAAATTTGACACTCATTTAGATAATAATATGCATTATGTATCGTCACTGTTAGTAAATATTTTAAACTTTTTCATTACAACACGTATTAAATTATAGGCAAAGACGAAAATTGGTCAAGCCAAAACATCAGCATCTGAAGCTAAGAAATTGGTAGATAAAGGGTTAGAAGATGTTACTAAGATATTAAATGAATTATCAAACATAGTCGATTTTGGTGAGTAAACTGATTGTTATTGTAATGTACCAATTTAATATTTATAAAATTTGACAAAACAAATAATTCCCATTTTACAGTTTTATTTTTGAAAATATTTTTTCGTTTCAATAGGTTATTAAAATACTGTTTATTTTATCCATAAATCAAATATATATTTTGAACTATAATTTTCGTTAACATAAAAACCATTTCCATCGTTCTATTTTTTTTTTTTTTGTTTTTGTCAACGGTACAAAGCGTAATTTTACTGCCAATATTTAAAAATTTATCGTTTGCTTATAGATAGTGAAAAGTTGAGTCAACTTAGCACAAGACTGGAGTCGGTCGAACAGGATCTTATCAGTGCTAAGCTAGACGAAAAACTCATGACCATTAATAACGCGAGGATCGCTCAGGTGCGTTTTAAAATTAATGAGAACACAGTGATATAACAAATCGTGCTATGTTGATAATTATTATTATTATTATTATTATTATTATTATTATTATTATCATTATTATTGCTATTATTATTAATACTGTCTTGTACTCCTTAGGCTCAGTTGATCAAGACCTATGAAGACGATATTCAAGCGTTGTCCAATGATGTTGCCAACATTGAAGCTATACGACGAGCGCTGCCGAACGGATGCTGGAAGAAAACAAACATTGAAGAATTGCGTTGAGCAAACATCAATGTCAACCGTCACATTAAACGTTTTACCATTTAGTCGTTAATATTAAGTTAACTGTAATAATTTTTAAAACATTTAAGTCATTGTATGTGTTCATAAAATCAAAACGATAGTCATACTATATAATTACGAATTGTTCGACCAATGAATTATTAAATTTATTGTAATATAAAATAGATAATATGTCCCGATTTTCACGATGGAGCACATTCGTAATGTTCACTAGTATAGTACAGACAGCGCACGTGCGTATTTATTATTAAATATGTTCAAATGTCTTAAGAGTATCCGAATACTACCTCGGGTTAATAGTTGAACTATTAGCAATATCGTTTTTGATTCACCACCGAAGCGAGAACCGTAGGGATTTCAAGTCCCCGAGAGTTCTAGAATAATAATTTTTAATGTAAGCATTTATTTACCCACGCGTAAGACTTAAAATAATAACTACGTCGTCACGAAATAGATTTAGATGATAATAATAATATTTATATTTGTGTAAGGTTATTTCAATGTGCCAAAGACCAATTTTTAATTTATTACTCTACGTATATTATTATATCATACCTACTTATATTGAAGCTTTTTCCCCTATGATTATGTAAAATAAATTTATAAAAATAATTTAGTCTGCTTGTTGGTTATTGAACAGTATATTTATGGCGAATGTTCTTCCCTCCTAAAGGTTGAAGTATACCGAGGCACGGAAGTGATACGATTTCATTTTTCAAAACCAGTGTCCGTTGATAGAGATCCAAAATAATCAACTATACTACACGTCCCAAAACTGATTACGACAGTCGACAGATCCGTCTGATTATTGAACATTATTACGGTCGTGGTAAGTTGAGTAAGCGAACAGTTTGAACTACTGTTGTGACGTGACGTCATATTGTTATCAAAAGCTCAGAACGTATTTAAAATGTTCGATCTCGTGATGGTGTAGATTATTTTAGATAATCGATTTTTCTTCGAGAACATCAGGGTAGTAGTAGAACCTATCCGTTCGTCGCGTGGAAATATTTAAAAACTGAAAACTTAAACGCTACTAAACACCGATTTTTCTGGTACGATTAATTTTGCCACCGCGTTACGTTCGAAAAGCATAGAACAGCGCTAAATCGACGCGCTACCGTGAACCTTGTACCCGTGTATGTGTATACGCAATACCGGGTGATTTGTTTATAGCGGACACGCCGCAAACCGTCTTGTCCAGGAGAATGTCAGTTTTTTTTTCGTCCGATTTTTCCGTTTTCAATCGTTTGCGTTTATTTGCAATTTTTACAATACGTCGATAAATACCGTCCTCGTAAGCGTCCCTTCGTGATGGTTTTTGAGTTTTGCATTCGAAACGATCCAGGAACTTAGACGACGGATGAGATTAATGGCACCCACTCATCGCACACAACATCGACCTTTGATCTTTTTTTAAAAAAAAAACTAACCTATCGCAAAGTTTTCGCATGATGACGATAACGAATACGGGGAAAACACCCTGTATGCTCGTGTGTGGGCCGTACGTCACCGTGTCAATACACGGACGGACCATTAAAGGTTTTCATTGTTAAGGCGACCGGCTCGAAGGGCGGGCAGACGGGCTAGGTGCAGTTTAACGACCTATTGATAACTCGTTACTCATTTATAATTCAACGAGTCTGCCGTTGCCCCGGTGTCATTCGCGCACACACGGTTATACCGCGTCCCGGGACCATCGTTGCGCGCGTGCAGTTTCGATAAAAACGACGGTTCCCATCTCAGCCGCAACTGCCCCCTGGTGCGACCCGGTGAAGTCACGGCCAAGGGTTTCCGTATGGTCCGGCCGAGGGACGCGGCCGCGGCGTTTCCGGGACCCGGAGGACATGGCCGTCCGGAAGGATCACCCGTCCGGTTGGTCGACGGTGTCGCGGCACCGAGTGCCCGGGAATAACGGACGACACGTCGAGTGGTTAAACAGAAAACCCGTCACTCCGGTAAGTCGAAAGGACCGAGGTCGTCGAGCGCGAGTATTCAACGGTTCGTCCACGGCAAGGGGCGTTGTCCGGCGACCGGAGGCGAAACTCGTTGCTATGCAGGGTTAGATTGAGTTAGGTTTGTTCTAGTACGTCGTCGACTTTCCGTCGTCATTCGAGATCACGTGAAGAATTGACAGGTTACGCTTCGTTCTAGTCTTTAACGGTGATCATTTCTTTAGAAAACTTTGTCTACTATATATTGTAATACATTGAACCGTATTGTTAAGACGGTTATATAAAAACATTCAGAATTTATCTTGTAAACATTTCAAATCGCGTTAATGTTGAGTTATATTTAAAACTAAATATTTCAATCGGTTATTTAAAAATAATTGTTAGCAATTTTTATTGAATATTTCAAAACAGATTATCTGATAATTACGATATTCGTTTGAAAACGACGTAACGTGTTGTGGCGCCAGGTGCGATTTGTATTTAGAACTTGGTTAGGGCTCTATTACGCGCATATACTCGTAATGTAAGGAAACGAATTCAAGGCCATTGGGGTTTATTATTAATTCGTTTTTTTTCTCCCTTTCCCACTCCAAATTTATCGAAATTATACCTATCTAACGATGAAAATTAATAAAAAAAAAAATTGTATTCCTTCCAGACACTATTATGTTATGACATTAACGCGTTGTAATAGTAATAATTATAATAAAAATACTTTCAGAGCAAAATATTAAATAAGGTTTCTGAGATTTACCTGCGAATGTTCAAAAACAAAACGAAACGAAACCGGAAACCTTTCGGTCGTTGTTATAATCCGAAAAGAACGTTACAGTAAACAATTACGTAATAACTGGGCCTGGTTGTAATAATATTTTATTATAACCTGGTTCGTTCGCTATTTCCAAAAAATAATAATTCACGCTCGTTTTTATCAAATCTGGTGAGTGATAGTCCGGTGATGTTCATTCCGTTTTGGTTATCCGCTCGTCGAGTCCGTAGCGTTCTTGGAGCTCCGTGGTCTGGAATAGAAGAAAAAAAACTTGCTGCCACGTGGTTTGCAAGTCTCCACATAATTAACGCGTAATCCTATCGTCTAACCCTGCCACAGACCGACTTACGCTGGACACGACGAGGAAACACTACTGGCGCAAATTGCGTGTTCGTTACGATGGTTACGATGCGAAGGTTTCTGATTTTCGTCGAGTTCGAGTTCTGTCCGCGTGTTGTACGTGCGCACGTTTGCCGGTGCGCGGATCGGTTAGCAAATGAATCTCGTGACTGTCTTATGGCGAAATAAAATCGAGAGGAATGCATTTCATCGCGAACCAATACACGGCGGTGCCTGCGGTCGGCCGAAAACGTTTGGTTGAGGATTAATGCAAATAGTTGAAAAAATATGTCGTTAACATTGCCTACACGGGACCCCTTAAATTCCGTCGAGTTATCCGGCGTACACGAAACATTCTCTTACCCAGAACAATATTTATGACAATATTTATGTAATGCGCGTGGTAAAATTCGGTTCGGATGGAAAAAAAAATACGATCCTGACGGTTATTGTAATAAACTGCAATCGATGCGTGTTGCCGTTAATCGAATGGTGTGCGCGCGTGAAAGTCTGCTTCGGTATCGTATTTAAAAACATTACGTTTTACTAACGTCGAAATTGTGTTTTTCGTCATTTTACGCGCGTGCCGCTTAACGTACGCTAGGTGACGGTTTTTATTATTGTAATTTTCTTTTTTTTTTTTTTTTAATCGATTGTACGAAAATGATTACCGAACAGATACGTAATAGTGGGGTTTCGACGTGTTCACGAATCAATGGAATCAAACGTGTATTGTGAATAAAAATCAAAAAAAAAAACCCACCAACTGATGAATATTCCACGTGTATAATTAATATATATATTTTTTTTTCGGGTTCGTGTTTTCGTGGTATCTTGATAAAAATATAAATATCACTTCGAATGCAGATGAGCGATAAAGTCCAACAATATTAATAGGGATAACCGTTTTGGATAACAAGTTCAAAAAGAAAAATTGAACTTTTTGCTCGAATTGTTTACATTTATAGACGGTTCGCTTGTAGTTGTTTTAAACTAATGAAAAACTGCTTTTGAGTGGTTACATCTAAAAGGAAAAAGTTTTTTTTGTTTCTTTTTTTTAATTATTAAAATGCTCAAAGAATAAATAATTGATTATTTTAAGATTAAATATTATTTTTGAATTAATTCTATCGACTAAAAGATTTACTTAAATATCATGAACAGGCAGTATTGGAACGATTTCTTTCGATCAGATTTTTCATTAGTCGAGTTGGTATATAGTTATTATTTCGTCGAAATTCAAGCGTTTTTAATTCAATGACAGTAATTGCTTACGAAATTTTCTATTTGATTCCAGAGAAAGTAGTTAAACATTAAAATACATATCGGGCAAATAACGTTACCATGTCAACAAGTCCAATACATTATACGGATATTTACATTTTTATTTTATTATTTGTATGGTATTTTTTCAACTATACACGTCGTCACCGCGTCGATATTCTATACAATGAAGAATAGATATGCAAACATAACATGTGCTCGTGCATGTATACATAATATACTATTCAGCTTTTTAAATGTTGATTTTTTAAATTTAATATTTAATTTCTATGTTCCTACGTTTTAACAAAACATAAATACCGACTCAGCTATGTGACCTGTATTATGATAAATCCGAGTAGGTAAAGCATTTTAAAATTCGATAAAAGTCGTTTCGATAAATTTCCATCGGGACACGTAGAATTTGGTTATTGAAAAAAAAATGTCGACCAAATAGTATGCATAAAATATGAAGCAATTAAGTTTGCATCGTTATATATGGAATCAAGTACGTTCAACACTTACTCGCATGCCGTTCGAACGTTTAAGTAGCGCGAAGTTTTTATTCCGTCACTTAATACATTTTTTGTGTTTTTTAGTGGAAGCAAAATATTCGACCATTACGACGTTTTCCAAATATTAATTCCACTCGTTGAAGTGCATCTAAACGCGTGTGAAAATTAAATTTCAAATATGCATTTATGTATAGATTTATTTTTTTAATTTCCTTTTTTTGGGATTAGCGATCCAACATTATCTACACGCAGGAAACATAACTATTAGAACATCGGTATATTTTAGAGATTCGTTCGTAACGCGCATTAATATTGAATCATAATGTTAAATATTATCACAATAGAATATTGTTTGTTTAAAAGGTTGCATCTTTATATTAAACATCAGTTTTGAAAAAATAAAATCACTTTTTATCAAGTTAGAGGTTGTTTGTACGTATAGGTTATTGTTCGACTAACCGTTGTTATTAGACCAAGGGTCCCCGACCGGTCGATCGCAGTCGATTTATTCTAGAAATAAAAAGTTCAAAAACTCATGCATTAACACATTAACGAACTTGTATTTTTATTTTTGAAATGTTCACGTGCACCTACTATTATATCATCACGGCAGATTGATAATAAATAATTATTATTTTATTTTTTTTTTAAATTTCTTTTACTCAAGCATCCTAGAATTTTCTTGATATAGATCACCGGAGGCTTAACTTTACGAATGCAGCTCACCCGTTGTGTAAAGGTTAGTGATTCCTGGTGTATAACGAGGACGTGCGGCTGCTTAGATGCGTATATTTAGGCGTTTGGTTATTTGTCGATTCGGTTTTCCGTTGGAAATGAAATGAACGGTACAGGATCCGAACACGGAGCATCCGCTATCGTATAGGATTCCACGCGATCAACTGGTGGCCGTCGGTGGGCGTAGGGTTAGGTTTTGTGTTTCCGACCGGAACACTTGGCGTAACATTGTTTCGCCAAGGTATGTCCGATGTTTTGTACGTTTCGTCGCGATCAGCGTGCGCGCAGGCCACGGTCAACTACTGCCCGACGTTGGGAGGGTGGCGGCTGCGGTCATGCGGGCTGCGGTGTCGATTGATTGACGTTTCGGACGACACGCACGTAGGGTGTTTTTCGTTTAATTTTTTTTTTTTTTTTTTATCATTCCGTTTGTTTGCCATTTCGCGTTGCAATACATTTTTTTTACCCATTCGTAATCCGTGCACGCGCCCCCCGAGAAACGTGTCGCCGCAGCCGGTCGCGCGGAGTCGTGCGCGCCCCGTCACCTGGGACCCGCGAAAGAGCCGCGAAGAGCCTACCAATAGTTGCCGCCACTGCGTTACAACATCGTTTCGAAGAGTTTTCAAAGCGCAACGACAACCGTCCGCGCGCCGTAACACTTGTAATACGTGCAAATCATGTCGTTTGCCGGCGGCGGCGCGAGAGGTAACGGTAACGATAATCTCCGCGATTACAATCACAGGCGCTCGGTGGCCGTCCAAGTCGTCCGGGACCCGTCAGCCGAGCAACCGCAAGTCCCGTACCGCATGGCACCGGCGCAACAGCACCTGCAGACCGACGGTTTCATCTCGGTGACGTCTCGCAAGTACAGGTAAGAACCCATATTATGTGACCGTAATGTTATGCGATATCATCGTCGGTGACGGATTTAGTGATATGGGGAGGGGGGTGAGGGATTCAGGCACCCACCGTTGCGCGTGTCGAACTTTTTCCGCTAGCGATCATCATCGTGACACGATTAAAACACGATTTTCGCGAACCTTACAACAATCCCACGTGTAGTGTCTACGGCCGAGGGTACGCGAAAAAACGATAATCCGAACGACAAACCATCGGCACACCGGTCGGTTTCGAGATCCGTTTCGTTTCTCGTGTTTGCGACGGGCCGCGGTAAGATGAGCACGCACTAAACAGATTGCAGATGCAAACCGTTCCATTTACCTCGCTCGAATAATCCATACCAAAAAAAAAAAAGACATACTGCAGTAAATCCAACTTTGCTCAAAATCTAAAATACATTAACATGGCATATAAGAGTAGGGGTAATATACAGGTTATTTTAAGTTTTGGTAGAAGGGCTGTAGCCCCCCCACCCAGATTTTTTACTCTAGTTGCGCCTATGACTACAACGTTACGTTAATTTCCGGAGATCATTTGGTATGAGTTTTATGATGATTTACTGATCATTAATTCGTTTGGGGATTATAGTACAGCGTGTTGTACAAATATTTTCTACAACTCTGCAGCAGTATTTAATAACTCATTCGATTTGTGTACCGATGGATAACCCGTTTTATCAGTAACGTACAAAGTAAACGAAAACGAGAAGAAAAAACTATTAAAAATAACGGTCAAACTTGTTATGGGTTACATAAATCGAATAAAAATCTTCTTCAAAATTAATTGCTTTTCGATCGCTACCCAAACCAATCGCTAGTAGTAGGATACAATTAAAAACGCAATGAATAACTTTCAATTAATTCAATCGACCTTATAATAATAAGTATACGATGTTGCCGAATGCTACACGTTAGTTGTTCATTAGACGTCAGAATGAAATTAAATACAATTTAGACAGGTTTTTTAAAATGTTTTCCCTTCATGTTAGTATAAGTGTCGACAGATAGGTTTATTCTTTTTCAAAAATTATATTTATAAGACTCAATTACCAGTTAGAAGGGGGGCGGTGATGGTTTATTCTTTAGGAAAGGTCAATATAGATTGCAGAGAGACTGCCGACGACCGGACTCGAACCAGTGACCATACGTTTAGACCCAGCCCTCGAGTACCCTACTCGACCACGACGTCCCTTACAGGCAGTTACTGCGTGGATAAAACAACAATGGAAACTTTTATCGACAATTATAATTCAATGGTGGGCATTATCTTTTGCACTTGCTGTTCACGTATTGGCAGCAAATACCAATGGAATTACATAACAATATCATAATATTTTGGGTTTGTTTAATCTTCGGAATTATACGTCCATTATAAAATGCCATTGACGAATGGTCATAATACGGTGATCCGACAGTCAATAGAGTTTAACATATAACCGGGTGTTTGTAGTTGGACCGCGTATGTTTCAGCGCAATATTAACGTCCTAATAATAACGTCCCGGGGTGCGCTTGTTTAACTGTATATTATAATATTGTATTCAAATGTTCAACAGAAAATTTCAAGAACTGTTACACGGCAGAAGCGTTTTGGAAAGATGGCTGATCGTCGGCATAGCTGTCCTCAGTTCGGTGTGTTTCGTACTCTTGGTGAAACGGTTTCGAAAAGGTACGTACTTACTGAGTTGAAGGCTCGCCGCGGTCTCGTTTTCGCTTTGAACACGGACCGGTGGGATCCAGCGTACGGCAATAATAACACCGGTCGTGTGTTCCAGGTGTCGCGAGTCAGACGACGTGCCTGAGCGACGAATGTCTGATATCTGGTAAGCAACCGGTGTGCCAACTTATTTTTCCATTACTTTTTTTTTCGCCGTTCGATATTCCTTAACTTCTTGTCAACTTCTTGTTCTCGCCCTCTGCACGCAGCCACAACCATAATGCAATCGATGAACACGGCCGTCGACCCGTGCGATAATTTTTTCGAGTTCGCGTGCGGCAACTGGCAGAATCATTACGTCTCGGAACCTGGCCAGGCCAATTCTTGGTTTATCGAAAGGACACGGTATATTTCTATGGGAATAACGAGTGAGTGTGTTATTATTATAAGTGACATTGCGTAACGGTTCGACAGCAACGGTACAATGCGTGCGTGTTATGATAACGCGATAATAACAACAATAAAAAACCGTACTCGTAGGGGACAATTTGTGCGACCACCCGAATGGGGGGGGGGGTAATAATTATTGGGTCCGAGGTACCCATTAGGGTTCCGAATCGGCACCGTGGATCGCGAGCGTGACACCGACCTTGGGTCGTGCACAAACGTTGCGGACGGCGGGTTCAGTTCGTTTTCGTCGCACGCCTTTGCAGTGATAATCGCGTTCGGAAAACGCACAAGAAATATAATGGGTTTCGTATCGATCGATTTTTCCAGTCGCTCGAAAATACATCGTAAACGCGACTATAAAACCGATTTTACCGCATGAGTCCGCGGAAAAACGATGTCTCGCCGAAATTCATTGCGGCATATTTGTGTCACGTTTCAGAAAAAAAAAAATTGCATATTTATTATAACGTTCTACTTCGATTTAAACTTCTTTCGCTTAGATCCGTTGTTCCATGTCGTACAGCAGTTACCGTTGGTCCACCTCGTACTGCACGTAGGTACCTTTACCCCGATAAAGTTTTTTCTTACTTCTCGTAAATTAGTAACCATACGTTTTCAGGAACGCCGTCCTTCGCAGTACCCGTTTTAAATTGAATTCATTTTTAATTAATACTCTTATTGTAATTGTTTTACGTTTATTATTATCTGATAATTATTTATATAGAAATATATATTTTTTTTTTCCAGAGATCTTAGGAGACTTGGATCGTAAAAACGATCTTAGGTCGGTGAAACAAGCGAGACGACTGTATAGGACGTGTCTAAATACAGGTAAAAGAAATGCAGCGTGACAGGTGCCAAATGGGGTAGTAACGCATCCCTCTTTCGCGTGAAATCCGTATGGGTACGCAACGTGAACGGAGATTTCGTGTAGTATACATCGTTCGGAGGGTAGCGATTTATTTGATATACAACTACGGTGTATAGTAATAGTAATACTACTGCGCAGAAGTACAAAGAGTACCGCCGCCGATTCGGCGTCGGTCGCTTTTTGGTTTATTACAGCGATTAAATTTAATACTCTCATCGAAACTCGTTTTCTATTCTTCTGTTTGAATAATAAAAAAAAAGAAGAATAAAAAATACTTTTCGTTATTACTCGCAGCTCTCTTTGGAGATTTTTTCGGAATAAATACTATTCAAGATTTTCGATTTTATACTGTTTTTTTCTCAGAAACTACCGTCTACGAAAACATTCCGAAACGTACGTCAAAAGTGTACACGTCATTATTTCAATAAATTTAACTCGCGTTGTATCGGAATTGTTCAGTAAAACAACAACCGACCGACAATCTTGTGATCGGTCCGGGGTAAACCGTTGCGTGAGCTACGACGAAACGACGAGCGTAATTTACGTCCCGGGTGTTGAACGCGCTAAACTTGAGCGCGACAAAGTCTCGGCCGATTGACCGACAACCGTATACGGCAGAGTGGCCCAAAAGTCTTTGCTCACTGTTTTTATTTTATTTTTTATTTCCAAGCCATAAATAAAACCATAAAACATCGTTTATTGGTCAAAACTAATTTTTATAACTTATTGCGAGTAAAAAAAAAAAAAAAATCAATCGTAACCATCGCTTATTCTTAAAAACAACAACAACTGATGATTAAAGTTGCGAGCCGAGTCCGATAGCAAAGACTTACTGGACCACCCCGTACGTACGTAAATACGTTGTTCAAACGATCGCGTGTGTTGCCGCTCGCAGACGTGTTGGACGAGGCCGGATACGAACCGGTGTACAAGGTGCTGGACAGACTGGGACTTCCGCGGACGTTTCCGGACTTCACGACCGCCTCGTACACGAACGGCAGCGTGTTCAACGTGGCCCGGACCCTGGCGCTGGCCCAACGGTACCTGAGCGCGGACATCCTGATCCAACTGTCTTTGGAACCGGATCCGGTCGCTGACCGAGCGTCACTTTTCGTAATGTCACATCCCCGAAGTCACCCTTTACACGTATACCGCTCCCGAGGCCCGGGTTTTCACGGGAAAACAAACGCTCCGAACGCGCCGCGGAAATCGTCCGAAACGGATATCGGTGTTCGAAGCCGAGAACTAGTTGTCCGAATGCCTCCGAGGGAGTTATCCTCGCCCGCGGTATCAAGTCCAAACCACTGTTTTTACGGTTCCATCGACGTGAAACACGTCGTAAACGGATGCGGGACGAACCGTGCGCTGATTTCCCGAGCGCGTTTAGAAAACGGCTGACGGAATCGACGTCGAACTCCGACCGTACTGCGTTCGTATCTCCCCGCCTAAAAATGTACGACCCGAGGTGCGCACGTTCGCGAACACATCTCGTAAACCGTAAGATTTCGAAACTCGTTCTACAACGGTTGGGTTCTCGACAAGACGTCAAGACGAGATACGTTACGATACGAATCTGAAAACCAACCGCGTATCGTTCCGAACAAACGGAAATAAAATAGCGATTCGCTTTCACCCCTGTGCGACGGTTGAAAGACGTGTAGGTACTGCGCGGAACCGATGCGTTACGAGAAACCGCGAAAATCTGCAGCGCACCCCGCCGAAACGCATTTCAACCCGAAAACCGAGCGTTGTCGAACGCGCGTCTTTCCCGTCCGAGTTTCAGAGTCGAACCCCTGCTGTGCGCGAACCCGGGCCTCGCGCGTCGGCCAAAACTTTCGGACATTTCAGCGTTTCTCATTCTCGTCGTGTCTGTCGCAGCTGGGACCCGCGTCCGGCATCACGTCGCCACTGCCGGAATCGCTGGGCTACCACCGCCGGCGGCCGCGGGCCTCCAAAGCTCCCGACCAGACGGCCAGGGTCATACTGCTGCTCAAGGTGCGGTACATGGTGTCGGTCATCAGGGAGCTGGCCGCGGACGACACCAACAACGCCACCGCGCTGTCCAAGTTGGCGCTCAAAATCCTGATACTCGAATCGAATTTGAAGGTAATCTTTTCTTATCCTTTTTTTACCGACAAGCGTATACGGCCGGGGTACGCGCCGTCGTTAGCGGGCGCACGACTTAGGCAACTTAGGCCTAAGGCTTCGCACTTGAAATAGATTCGAGGGCCCGCAACTTGTCAAGTTAGAACAGTTAAATATATTTAGTGAGTAAGAAAATCGTACCGATTTTGCCCGAGGCCTAGCAAAAGCTCGCGACGGCACTGGGCGCGCGTGTAGAAGTTGTCCGCACACACGCACCGACGCCGGTCGTTCGAACGACGTCCGCGATTGATCGCGCGCGTGTATTATTCTTACGATTGTTTTTATTTGAAATGCACGTAAGCATATGTATCTATAATGTTTACAGCGGGAAACAGACGCAGAGCAGCCGGCCAAAGAATTCACATTTCAGAGCCTTAAGGATTTCATGTCTTCCAATTTGTCAGATATTTCAGAAGACGATATGGTACAGTACTGATTCCGATTCGATTATGATTATTATTTCAGAACACACGCACCGATAGCGCACCGTGTTCCACTAATCGTGATCAGTTCCACACTTTTGTTGGTGACAAAGTTGTGTGCTGACAAGGCACCGGAGGAGTGAAGGCGTTACTGTTGTTCACGCGCGTAACAGTCAACGGTTGTCACCGTCGTCAGTTCGTAACAACAATAGTTACTACTCCACCCGCCGCCGCCGCCGCGGAAATTGTTTTTATCCTTTCCGACCCGACAATACTGTTCGTAATTCTCGGATACCGCGGTCGATATTCGAAGACGCTTTGAACGAAGCTAATTAGTTCTATGGCCATATGTTTGCTTTTTGTTTTGCCCGTTACCGTCTTCCCCGGTAACACTCATAATACCGGGTGAACAATATAAATATGTTACCTTACTCGAAAATTAGAATAACCTCTATAGGCCGTGAACTGGACGCGGATAATGTGTAATGTACGAACGAGTCCGGTTTTAAAATTATCGATATTCGTGTCGAAGAGAACCTAGGAAATGGATTTAGTTTTTAGTGCGAAAAGTAATCTCTCGTCTCGGTCCGAACTGATTGTTTGTTTCGATGCTTCGTAGGCACAAGGTTATAGTTAAAAAATATCACCTGTTTTTTCTGTCCGGCTTAGAAATTTAGAAGGAGATTTATTGCACGTCAATCACCACGATCGTTTCAATAAAATTTTCAATTCTAGTTCGACATTCTAACGAAAGCTTATAATTCATCTGAATTATTTTAAAACTTGATGATCTTTATGACACCAGGTTTAAATATAATCTCGAACCTAGGCTAGTTACACTTGTTATATACTACTTCATAGATAAGTATGATAAATAATTTAGTTTTTTGAGTACTTAAAATACTTGAAAACCGTCCTAAATTAACACCACGGTTTATACATAGTTTTTCAAACTCAATTACTCTTATCGTTTTTTACTTCAAAAAATCGAATTAGTGATTAGTTTTCCTCATGATGACGAGTGGAACGCAAAGAATCACACATACTTGCACCTATACGTACATGACATTTTCTGAGCATTTTAGATAAACTTAATTATTTATGTGTGTGTCCAAAACAGTTTGATTGGCAGTCGTTCATCGACGGACTCACCGAGGGAACAAACATCACGTTGACGATGAACGACGTAGTGTTCGTACGGAATCCGAAATATTTTATCGAACTACAAGCGCAAATGATAAACGTTCCGCTAGAAGAATTTCGTAAGACCACGCTTTACAATTTAGCATAGCGTTATTGTAACAAAATTCTTAGGAGGAATAGACATCGGATCGCAGTAAGACTTATACTGAGCGAGTGTTATTGTTTTAAATCGAATAAAAGAGAACTACTGCTAAGACTACCACCGGTTATTATTTATTCAACGATTTCTGTTACATATTATAACTCAAATCTCTCCAATCACCACAATCTTCTAATATCAAACTTATCTGACCTCACTAACCTAGGTGACCCCAGAAGACGTTTAAGACGAAAATGGTGTCGGGGTCTACTGATTGAATAAAACCCATTCACAATGTCAAGAAGTTCCATCGCTGGATGGATTCTTAGTTAATAAGTATTCTTAGTTCTTAAGTCATCAGTCCCTTTTTATTTTATTTATTTTTATTCTATTTCTACCTGTACAGCGCTTATAGTTATTGTAAAAATAATATATTTACAGATTGCATAATAAAACTAATTAAAAACAACAAAAAAAAAATATTATACTCATAGAAAAATCCTCGTTTTTCTGAAATAAAAAATGTGTTGGTAGAGTGTTTAATTTTCCATACCATTTGTTACACATGACGCTTTGTTATTTTGTTATTTTGTATTTATGCCTATATTAAAAATTATGGTTTTGTTATTTTTTCCTATGATGATTTTTGACGACACCGTAATCACGTTCAGAACAATTTATCTGGTGGAAAGTTGTGGAAATTTTAATCCCGCACACAACTACCACGATGGCAAGATTTAAATCGTCGTTCTTCGAATCAATTTTTCCAAATTTGAAAAAACCTTCCAGGTACCCCTAACTATAAGAGAACGTAAATTTTGAAAAAAAAAACAACTTTTAATAACGATCGTATTGTCCGTAGAAAAGAAGTGTGCATGGACGTGACCAAGACGTTCATGAACTTGCCCATAGCTTACGAGTTCTACGTCCGTGACGATTTGAGTGTGACTTCCGTGAAGGTAAGGCACGGCCGTTCTCGGTACGGTTAACGTGATTGACATGAGAAACCAAATCTTGACGGTGTTTGTTCGCAACAGGTGCGTAAAATGCTCAGCCAACTACAACGGGCGTTTAAGGGTATGATCGAAGAATCCAAATGGACGGACCGCGTCACGCAACAAGTGACTTCCAAAAAAGTTGACGCCATCAAAGCGGAAATCGGATACCCAGAAATTTTCGAAACTCCGGAAGAGCTGGAAAAACTTTATGAACACGTATGTATGTTTTTTTAGTAAAAACCCCGAGACGCCTTTGACTGATTCACGCGATACCATCCAAGGTGATAAAGGCAAAGCATAAAACTTACTACACAGTAGTAAGTTCGTTTTGGAACACGCGTCTACATCGTTCTATAAGATTAACGTTTAACAGCTATATATTGTATTCTGTTACGTCATAACCATCGAATTGTGAACGGTATGGTTTTTTTCTAATTAGATAGAGATTAGAGAAGACGAGTACCTTCAGAGCATGTTGGACGTCAAAACGTTCGAGGTGGCCAGCGTGTTACAAGAATGGGGCAAACCGATTGTCACTAACCACTCGCTGTCGTAAGTATGAGATATATTCAATACTTCGTTTTTGGTTGCTCAACCGAATTTATCGTCCTCTTCTGCAGAATCCTGACGGATCCACTGGAAGTCAACGCGTTTTACAGTAGACTACATAATTCCATTAGTGAGTGTTGAAACCGACTGTTTGGTGAACTCGAGTACAATTGTTTATCGTTTTTTTTTTTTTTTTTCAATATTCCCGTAGCGATCCCGGCTGGAATTTTACAAATGCCGTTTTTCTACAAAGGAGTCGAGTAAGTTGCACGTTTTATAGTTTTACTAAGTACATTATCTTGTTTGAAATTTATCCAAGTCGACGTAGTGCATTAGACAACACGATATTTGAGCACAACAATTATAACGCTTACGTTTTTTTGAAAAATGTTCTCTAGTATTGTGAACTACGGTGCTATCGGGTCAATTCTTGGACACGAAATGACCCATGGATTCGACATCGAAGGTACCGAGCCAGTATTTTAACGAGAACGCGCGTTGTTTGCCCGTGCCACGATAACGTTTACGATTTTTGAATGTCCGATTGCAGGAAAGAATTTCGATGTCAACGGTAAGAAGACTATGTGGTGGTCGCAGGGAATAATCCGAGAATACGTGAAACGAGCGCAGTGTTTCATCAGAGAATACGATCAGTTCATGTTGAACAAAAACGTTTATGTACGTTCACCGTCTGTCGGTATATACTCTCGTCCGCGACGAGATACCGCAACAATAGTTTCTAAATTAAAATAAAAACCTGATATTCTCTATACGATTATATTTCTATTAAATGCATTTTGTTGATGTTTTGCAGCTGAACGGCACACGAACCCTAGCCGAAAATATGGCCGACAACATCGGCTTGAGACAATCGTGGCTGGCGTACAAGATATTTCAAAGCGAAAACGACGTCCAGCTTCCCGGACTGAAAGACTACACCAGCGACAAGTTGTTTTTTTTAGCTTACGCGAACGTAAGTACTGGTCGAGCCAACAGGGTGGTGTCAGAAAATTGTCCGGACGCAATGGCTTGACGTGTAGCTATCCAAGGGAAATGTGCTGTTATAGATCGGTTACCGGGTAGTTAATAGTCAGTAGACTACTGATGGGCGATTTGAATTGATATTTTATGCTGCGACGAATCGATTTTTTTGAATCGATCTCCTCCATGATTCGATTTTTTTTTAATAAATCGATTCGAATCGTTAATCCGATTTTTCATGTTAACCGAATCATTGATACGATATTTTATGCGAATCAATTATCGACCTTTTTGCCGTGTTTACTCTACCGTTTGTTTTGATCACGAAATTTTCATTCCGATTTAAATCGTTTCATTTTCAAGAATCACCTATCATTAAAAGTCACTACACGTTTTATGTTTTCATCTGCTTTCCATAGGCAAATCTGCAAATAGTGTAATCTGTTGATTAAAAAAAAACGCACATATGAAACGAATCGATATTTTCATTCCAATTTAAATCAGTCCAAAAGATCGATTAAATTCTTTCGATAATCGATCAACAGTCAGTAGTTCGATTAGTTCAATAATTTTTTCCGGGACGCGTTTACCTCCCGTTCGAGTCAGTTTTCATCGTAAAATATATAATATAAGCGATCGTTTGCTTTGGTTACGACTCCCTCCTACGCGGTCCGGTCCGATTTCCGTCCGCACGTTCACAGGGCCGTTTCGCCCGCAGGTCTGGTGCCACAAGCCCGACGACGGATCCAGCGCGGTGACGGAAGACGACCACAGCCCGAACAACGTGCGAGTGGTGGGCTCGCTGCGCAACAGCCGGGAGTTCGCGGACGTCTGGCGGTGCCCTGTCGACAGTCCCATGAACCCGTCCAAGAAGTGCTTCGTCTGGTGAACGCACCATCGCGCGCGACTGACCGTCAGCGGTATCGCGGGCTCCCGCGTTTATCGTCCGTCGTCGTCGCCGCCGCCGCCATTACACACAACGGAAACCAAATCGGTCAACGGGACCGACGGTTCACGTCAATGGAAATCGAAACGACCCTTGAATCGTTGAAAAAAAAATAATAATAATAACCAAATGGCTGCATCGCGAGCGAAATATAGAACTTTAAATATTTTGTACCCGCCTAAAATCTAGTCGATGGTGTTACGTATTTTATTACGTTTTGTTAAACCGTAAGTTTCTTGTGATAAGTAATGAACTCCGTTCTACGATTATAAAACTCTAAAAAAATTAAAACTGAAATTGTATTAATACGAATGTATGTTTGACTGTTGAACGGTGTAAACCGATCGGTCCATCGTCTTCCCGAATAAATAAAACAACGTGGTCGATGATATTCAGTACATTGGTAACAACCGAAGTGACGCTACGTTGTCCACTTTATATTGCCATTCACCGCCGAAAATACGCATCGCAATAACGTTTACGTCGGCCGTCCCCGTCGCAACTCCGATCGTAGCCTACGGTTTTGTCTAAAATATAACGTATCCTTTCGACCAGTGTTAGCTTTCCTCCCGGCGTCCCATTGAATACGTTGCGAGGTCGCAAAAGACTTTATAATATTTTTTTTTCCGCATTGACATCAGATTTTTACTCATAACTCGGCGGAATACTATCCTTTCCACGCGTTCGATTTCGCGGTTAACGCGGTCCACGGATTCGGGACTCGGGAAACGCACGGATTGCAGTTCTTAACTAATCTCTCTCTCCCTGTCGTCTCTGCGGTACTCGCGTATTTCCCGATGAGTACACGAGAGGACCACCGTGCCAAGAGGCGCATAACAATACACACTATCGCGAATGTGCAACAGGTTAACCCAGTGGTTTTCAAACTATGGTACGCGTACCTTTTGGGGGTACTCGAGATTTTTTAAAGGATACGAATGCGGTCGACAAACCTTTAAATTTAAATTATTTATGTGGAAAAGGTTATTCAAGTTTAAAAGTAAATATAGAAACAAGTTAAATGTTTAAGATGATTTAAGATTATATATAACTAAATCAATATTGATCAACTGTGCCAACAAAAACAAGCTAACCCTTCTCATTAATTTTTCTTTTTGAAAGTAAGATTTTTTTGTATTTAACATTTTTTGTGTATTAGTTTTCAATTAAATAAAAATATAATTAAAGTAAATGAGTTTTTACATTTTTTTTATATTTATTTTAGTTTTTCTAACTAAGAAAGGGTACCCAAAAATAGGTTTATTGATAAAAAGGGGTACAGTGTTTATAAAAGTTTGAGGATCCCTGGGTAAACCGATCAGCGGTGAATTGAGTTACACGCGACAGCAGTGCAGCAAATCTTGCGCATTTCGATCTCACTGTTTCGTGACATTCTATATAGACGGTCGCTCGGAGTTAGCGTTCGGTTTTAACGGTCAATTGTTCAACGTTGAATGATAATTCGAAATCGTTGTCGAACGTCGGCTAACTAACCGAACGTTTCCACGCGCGCGTATTATATTCAAACGGGTCCACAGCCAATGACCAATTCTGGTACTCGAAAAAAACGAAAGCTCCGAACTTCGAGGTCGAGTAAAACCGACAGAGCTGTTGCAGTGGCATACTTTTGGGCCATTGCGCGGCATTGAGATTTTTCGTAAAAACGGTGTATTTTACATGTGTTTGCACTCGTGTCACACATTTGCATACACAAATCGAGGGAAATAACAACGCATAATATTGTGTGTAATAACGTTTCCGAAGGATGGTCTGAGGACTAGCGAGGACATCAATCGACAATGAAAACGTCACTGTACATTTTGGTATATTTTACTTAAACCTATTGAACAGAATATACTTAATAAATTAAATAGGTTCTACTCTAAATGGTAATTACAGATAATTATAATATATTTAGTAACTAAAGTGGAAAAAAAAAAATAATAAATCAATAGGTAGGTACATTGTTTATGAACCAGGTAGGTACCACATTATATATATATATATATATATAATAATATCATAATATATAAAATATATAGAATTTTCAAAATGATTAGTCTGTACATTGAGCGTTTAAATAATAGTATTATGCATATATATATAGATATATAGGTACGCTTGAGAAAAATAAAATCATATTACAAGAGGATCGAAGTTACGAATATAATAAAATTGTTGTTAACTTATTCAATCTTAATTCGGTTTTTAAAAGTACAAGTGAATTACTTACACAATGTATTTATAAATTATCACATAAATATTTTTATATTACAAAACGAATTATTTTTATTTTATATCTTTCAATAATAATATACATTAGTCAGCCTTCATACGAAAAAAAAAAAAAAACAACAACCGGAATGTTGCGTTAACGTTCCAGGAGGAGGAAGACATACATAGTTTTTTTATTTGACATGGCACTTATACTTATACTTATAAACGGGGAAATTGAAACCGAAAGCAAACGTTGTGATGTTCAGCTTCTCGCGACTTGTTATGCAATCTGTTGTTGACGATTCCGGGTAAAACTTAAGAACACCTGAAAAATCGGTTGCACATCGGGTTATTAAGTAATCATTAACACGGTACGAAACAGGTAAATGACACGTATTAAATGAAATATTTCGCGTGCTGCGGGTTTTTTTTTTGTCCCACAAAAGTTACCTGTTCCAAACTAGTTTGCGATATTGAATAATCGTCGATCAGCAGTTCCTTTTTGGCTTGTTCCATCTGAGCGAAAGCGTAAGAACACGGATACTTCTTGGGAATATGGAACAGCGCTGTGATCTCGAACTCTTCTCGCAAACTCGCACCTTTAGCAGGAAAACATTTACGGTTAGAAAATCCGAACACTCTCACGGGGTGCGCGAAGGGTTCGTCGAGAATGAAACGAGGCCCGCGATACCAGGTGAATATTATTACACGAATATGGCCACAGCCCCTTCACTTACCCTCAAACGTTTTTATCACAAAATCTTTGGCTACTCGATTGTTGTCCGGATGGTATTTGATGTGCAACTGATAGCCGACGGAAAATTTGTTTTTCAGGTGCTGCACGGATCCGATGCAGCACAGGCGGCCGTCCACCATGATGGCCAGACGGGTGCACAGAGCTTCGCATTCTTCGAGGCTGTGGAAAGTAAAAACGAAATAAACATGTGATGTCATTGTCGGAACAAGGATCGCGTATCGCGTATCGCACTCGCATCACAGGCGGATATCGGATTCGTCGCCGACGAACTGTTTCAATAAAGTTATACGTTTCAACAATAGAATTCGATACAAAGCAGACAAACGATATAATGCGTATTCGGCACAGTTCAGAGATTCACATAAAATGTTACTCCACCGAACATATTCGTAAAACGTTACGTTCGACACGAATTCAGCAGAACCAGTATGAAACCTACGCGTACGCGTTTCGACAACGAGCGAACGTCTCGCGAAAGCGCCGATAGGTCACGGCGTATTGTTAAATGTAAAAAAAAAAAAAAAAAAAAAAAAAACAAGTACCTGTGTGACGTTATGAATACGCATTTGCCGCGATCCCTCTCCTCGCTCACCGTGTCCCAAAGGTGTTTCCGGGCGGCGGGATCGAGGCCGGAAGTGGGCTCGTCCAAGAACAATATGCTTGGGTCACCGATCATAGCTATGGCAGTGCTAAGCTTTCTCTTGTTGCCGCCACTGAAACACGCGTGCGCGCGAGCGAGATTATAATAACAAAAGAGACGAGACGAACTGACAATCAACAGCCGTTCACCGTGTCCGGGCGGCCATTAGCGACGATTTTTGGGTCAACACACGAACGACGTACGTACCTGTAGTTTTTCGCTTGGACGTTCAAATGAGGGACGAACGCCAACCGCGCGGCCAAGTGGAACGGCACCGTGGACGCTTCTTTGTACGACATGCCTCGCAGTCTGCAGAAGAAATGGAGCGTCTCGTAGCCGGTGAGCTCTTCGATGAGACCGTTGAACTGCGGACAGTAACCTCCGACCTCGTGGATCTGCGCACGTAGCAAATGCGTTATTATTGTTGTCACGCGCGACAGTCGGACGAAGATTTCGTCGCGACATTTTAATCGGTCATACAAATATTCGCGGCACGCGATCGGACGAACGAAACGTGCACGTTTGCGCGTCGATCACGATGCCAACGGTTCATACGCGAACCAAAAACGTAATAAGTGTAGCGCTTACCTTTTCTCGGTTGTTGTTCACGTTCACGCCGCACACGTAAATGTCGCCGATGCTATTCTTTATGTCTCCCGTCAGCATTCTGAACGTAGTGGTCTTGCCGGCCCCGTTCGAGCCCAGCAGCCCGAAGCACTCGTTGGGTTTCAGGGCGAGATTTAAACCTTTCACGACATCCTTGTTCCCGTACTTCTTCCACACGTTGCTACGCACAAAACCAACAGTTTATCATATCGATCACGTAGTGCTTACGATCAAATGGTACCCTAATCTAATGCCCTCGTTAACAGTTCTACTAAGATCATCACATTATATTTCGCACTGTCATCCGCTACGATTACATCGAAACGGCAACCGTGTTCCCGGTGAAAATAATGCGAATACATGTCATTATTGATCCGAGCTGTGGTAAAATTCACCGTGATAGTATACACTTTCAGGAGATTTATTTTTTTCCCAAATCACCCCTTATATTTTACTCCAATCATGAGAAACGTTGAAATATATTATGTTATCATCGAACTGTTACAACAGTTTTTAGATGAAACGCGATTGTTTTCGGATAACGTTTACGTTGTAACAGGACAACGAACGGCGAACTAGTAGTATCGATCGGGTCCTCCCTCCGTTAAAATTTACTACATCTAGATCAGAGTACGCGTACGTGAACAACGGTCACTGCAGCCGCGGACGAGATTTGGCAAGAACTCCAACGAGATCGAACGTTGGTTTTGTGGTTTTGTAAGAATGAATTTCGAAAATGCCACCCCTACTAAAGTGCCATTCTAGGCAGGTGCCTAGCCCGCCTATACCTTGAGCCGGCCCTGTCGATATGATTTAGGAGGCGGCGATCACGATTACGGTTAGTCCGTTTGCCGACCCGACTAGCGAAACGGCAGCGACGGGTCGGTGTACGTGAAATCGCACCGACCAGTCGTCGTCCGGTTAAACTCACTTGAGGTACAGACAATAGTTGTGCGGGTCCACACTGTTGACCGTCTGCTTCTCGTGGGCCACGTCCGACTCGTAACAGTTCAGGTCGTACTTGTCCTCCTTGATCGGCCGCTTGCACATGTGACTGTACAGCTTCAGGATCGTGCACTGTATCTTGTTGCCGTAGTACATCAGGTACTCGCAGGACAGCAGCAGCGACACGCACACGAATCCCAGCCAGAAAAGATGCGCCATGTGGCGGCCGATGCCGGGGCTCACCCACGACAAGTTGTCACCGTCCCATCCGAAGCAGCTGGCTGTAAACACGCGGGCGTGTGTGAGATACGGCCGCGTAACAATTAATCGGATAACAGTCGGTTCGCGCGGGCCGAAAGCGTTCGTGTTCTCAAAACGTTTCATTTCTCGGTCGCTTGCGACCTTCCACGTGTGCCGTACGGCGCGCAACCGACGTGACGACTTACCGTTCTTTTGGAAATCGCAGATCTCGTTGTACTCGTACGACGAGTATATGTTCTTCATGCCGCTGCCGAGCGCGTAGTGCGGGAAAAATATCATCACGTTGTCGATGAATTTCGACTGATCCTTCAGGCACAGCGGTTGCATGTCCAAAATGAGCACCAACATGAAGCACATGGCACCTGCGGGACGACGGTTATCGTGAGATGTGTCATGATCGCTTCGCGCGTAGAAACGGACGGTATGATTTCATATTTTATTCCGTACACGCGCGCATTCTTACCGGTCATCACGCTGAACATGGATATTCTGGTGAAGCTCGTCGAAGGGTTGCGGAACATGAACGAAAACAAACTCATCAGCGGCAACGTCGCCCACGAGAAAGTCACCAGCAGGCTCAGCATCAGTCCTGTGGAAACAAACACGACGTCGCGGTCAATAAAATGGTAGTATCGCGTGTACCCGCGTAAAGCGTAAAGCCCCGCGGACAAAGGATCGCGGAACGTTGTTCCGTTTTGACCGTAAAACAGATTTCGGAGGTGCCAACGCACTCGTGTGTTTACGATTTCCCCCCTCTAACCCTGACGGGAAACGGATTTTCTCGGCCACGCCGATTCCAACAGTCGGACACGCGAACACGGCGTGCCCTGACGATTGGCGAATCGCACGCGCGCAACCCCCGGTGGTCGGTGTCTACTCAACGACAAGCAGTCGGTAGACACAAAAAAAAAAAATTGTAATATAATTGTTGAAACACCCGTAGCACAGTGCTGCTGCAGTCCCCCGTACGACTTGTCGTATGAGCGCTACTCACCCATTTGTTTCAGGTTAGCGTATCCCGGGTCACCGTGCCAGAAGAGCAACAGCAGTATGGAAAATATCACGGTCAGGTAGCTGATCCAGTCCCACAGCAGAGACGCGCCCCAGTAAGCCAGCGGTTTGATGCCCGCGATCTGCTGCATGTGTTTGGCCCCGCTCTGCCGTTCGTTGACCGCGAACAACACGTACACGGCGCACACGAACGCTTGGGAAATGGCGCAGTTGAACGCCACCTGGTAGCCCAGATTACTGCCTCCGGTCAGTTTCATCAGCTGAAAAAAAAAAAAACATCATTAACAATTTGAAAAGATATTAAAAAGTAGGTTAGGGTATTGTGGGTATACGCGAACGGTCGCGGGACGTATGCGGTGAGGTATGGATGCATTATGCAGCGTCACGGTGACGGGTTCGGGATCACGAGGCTTTCGCCGACCTCGGGCCGCGAAATCTTACCGAACCGCAGACTTTGGAAAAATTAATAAAAAAAAAAAAAAAATAATCGAGCGAAACTATAACTGCGATGCACTCAAACAGTGATTCGTAACGAGCTTCCGAGCATAAAACAATCGATCGTAAAACTATGTCTACAAACCTTAACTTGCGCGACGGTATATGAACACGAATGTTATTGGTGAAACAACGTCGTCGTTTTAAATGTGGACGACAAAAACACGTGGGTATACGTGCAAACCGATTGCACTCACGAACAACATTTAAATGCTGAGTAAAGTTTCAGCAGAGGCGTCTGCAGCGGTATCGAACCAACGGAATCGGAAGGAAGTTAAAACGAACTCGTTGAAACCGCGAATCCGACAAAGACGACACGCGGTTTGCAGGACGTGCACTGTTATGTACGCGCGATTTGCGACTCTCACCTTGTCCACTCCCTGGTAGGGCAGCGGATGATTGATTATCTTAATCCCGTAATCGTCTCCTTTGTAGTTTTTCAGTATGGCGTTGTGGACCATGTTGAGCGCCAGCGGCGGCCCGTGGTACGGCTGATTGTTGAAGTACGCCGTGATCTTGAAATCGCCGAAAATCGCTCCCACTATGTACTTCTGCGTGAACGGCGATATTTTCTCCGATGCCTGTAACGCGACGGCAACGACGCGCGGTTAATAACACAACTGGTGTACCTATTCAAGACCGTACTTAGGATTTTCGTCCCTCTTCCCTTAAGTGGAAAACCGAAAACAAGTGTCTTCAAGTGTTCATAAAAAAAAAATAGCCGATCACTACGCTAGTTATTCATTTTCTCAATTTCCGTACTCTATTACACACTATTCGTAATTGAAATAAAATCCCAAATAATAACAAAGGTTTAATTACATAAATAAAACTATATAAAATTGTGTTATACAAAACTGATTGGTGATGCCCTTCTGTTTGAATGTCCTATCCACATACAAATAAAAATTAAACCAACACTTATACTCAATAGAATATCTACTACGTAAATTTAAACACGCTTAAATACATGTACATTCTATACGCAACTAAATCATATAAATAATTTTACAATATTACATTTATTTTTCATATAATTTTATTCATAAATAATTTTCGGTTGGGAATGTGAAAAAAATCGATTTGTCTTTACTAAGGATCACCGTAAAAATGTTGCCACCCCTTAAATATATCAGAAAGGCTATTGTCTCATCGAACCACCCCTTAAATACGGCCCTGTATCTACTGCTGATTACGGCGCGTGTCCAAACCGATAAACGAAAAAATGTACGCACCACTTTCAGTAAAACGTCCTCGAAGTCATTGTACCGGCTCCGATAGTTCAGATCCAGCACCGGGTTGGACCCGCAGATGTTCTTGTACGACTCGTAAATATTGTTCATGATCGTGTTGTTCGCGGTCAACATGACCGTGCTGATGGGTTCCCAGTAGTTCTGAAACACGTTACGTGATAACATGTCTATTAATACAAGAAGGGTCGCGGCAATCCGAACACGGACTAATGTGAAGTACGTGATAATCCGAAACGGGCTTGAGAACCGTCACATCGCGATTTATAAATGTGTACATTTGTTAAAAAAAAAAAAAAATACATAACCCAGTATTTTAAATGAAAATTTAAATGTTTAATTTTATGTATACGTGCGTAATAATATTGATTATTTTAACTGTATTAATTATTGTATTTTTCGATTATGTATGGATAAAAATAAATTTGAAAGTTTCGATTTCACGAATATTGATTTTTTTTTAAGTCGTACTCAATCTGAACGATCCCTTTCCCCAATCCCGTTCAGATTATCGAGTGTTGTTATCGCTTACCCCAAGTTCGGCTGCCAGTGCGGGCAGGTCTTTCATCCCCTGCCAAGCGTTGACGACCAGTAACGCGAGCAATATAAAAAACAACGTCAACATTAACTGCAAGGAGTGCATGATCAAAGAACGGTACGATTGCAAACATTTCTTCTCCATAATCGCCCCGACTTGAATGATGAACAACTTCCATCCTTGGGCTCCTGAAAGTTTGACGGTTATTATTACAAAACAACGAATCATTGTGTTATCGGTTGAAAATTGCACCGCGACTGGTTCTCACTTTCGTATTTCAAATCGGTAGAATCGCTCTCGGCGTCGTAGAATAAACTGTCGAAACGATTGTTCAATTCCAGTGATTTCTGTTTCATCGAGTTCAACTGATAGTCCGTCAGTTTTTTGTTGTCTTCTTGACCAACCCTGCATACGACAACGAAACGCAGTGTGTTTAAATATAATACAAAACCGATGCCACGCGTATACAATAACGAATTACTATTATTTTTATTGTTTCCGATTTACCTCATGAACACGTCTTGTAGCGAAGTCAAATTCACGCCGTATTCTTTGACCCCGAACAAATGTTTGTTTTGCTCTAAAGCATTGAGCAGATCTGGGAACGACGAAGAGTCTTCTAGTTGATACGTAACTTCCATTGTAGTCATGTTGCTTGGAACGGAATTCGGGTAATATTTACGGACGAAATTTGTTACTTTGGTCAGACTAAATCCGATTACATCTTTCACTAGAGTTAAAGTATAACCGCCACCTGGAATAAAAACAATACATATTTTTCAATCAATTTATACAAAAGGTACATTATACACTTGATACATATATGTTTAAATATTTTTATCTAAAACAGTTGAAAACTTATTTTAAATGTATTTGTACATCCCTAGGGTATAAATCAGGGTCGTAAAGTAACTCAACAGTTCTGAACATTTTTAAATAATTTATTATTGTTTCCCGTACACTGAATCATAATATGGTATCTTATAATTACATTATTATCTGAGTCTCAACGCAATACGCATAAGTATAAGTTTTTGGTTTTATCATGATTAAACGTTTACGGATAACTGCAGATAAATATTTATCTTTATGAATAAATAAAAACAAATCTGTTTAATTTCTACATTCGTACAGGTAGTTTCTAAAAGTGTAAGGTTGTATGACATTGTTTTGTTTACTGTTCTTACCGTATTCTTTTTTCAACGAAAACGGTGTTCCGACACAACACAAAGTACCGGCTTTCATGATGGCGACGCGGTCGCCCAACAGATCTGCCTCGTCCATCAAATGCGTGGTCATCACCATTGTCCTTCCTTGCCGTTCCGACTGCAAAATGTTCCACAGAGTACGCCTAGCCGCAGGATCCATTCCTGACGTGGGTTCGTCCATTAGCACCACCTAAATGGACGAAACGTGTATTGTAAGGATTACAGAACGCGACGATTTATTCATATTTATGACACCAACAACCTAGTCCGCGCAGCGCTGTATCCGTACCTTGGATTTGCCGATCAACGCGATGGCGACAGACAGTTTTCGTTTCATTCCTCCGCTTAAATGTTTCGATTTGGTACCGAGCATAGACTCCAGTTCGAACTTGGTCGTATAACTGTCCACTTCGGCTTGCAGTTCGTTGTCGTCCAAGTCCTTCAGCTGTAACACACCCATCAACAACGGTATTATATAATTATCGCTTGGACGAAAAAACGATAGCAGTGCAGTGACTGATACTACTACTGGGTACTTTTACTACTAGTACAATTACTTATTATTTAATCTACGGCCACGATAAGCGGACAAGATCACTAACCATTCCGAAAAAGTACAAATGCTCGAGAACCGTCAAATCCGGTATGAGCAGATTGTATTGGGGACAGAGTCCCAACGAATGTCTGATGATTTTCATGTGGGTTTTTATGTCGTAGCCCTCTATCAGCGCCGTTCCGGACGTGGGACTTATCAGCCCTGTCAACATGGACATTGTGGTGGACTTTCCGGCGCCGTTGTGGCCCAGCAAAACGGTGATCTGATTCGGATGCATGTCCACGGTCAGTTTGTTGACGACGAACTTGCCGGGTCTGAAGCTCTTGCTGAGCGATTGGATTTGTATGCCGGACTTTTCGGTGATCTTATTGGGATCGACTTTGCTCTCGAACCAGAAAGACGGCTAGAACGGCAACGACGATCACATTGTATTATTATTTGCACCGCGTCGCGAAAACGTCGAGCAGTAAAAATGTGTGTAGAAGAAAACAATTTGAATGGAAAGAATAAAAAAAAAAAAAAAAAAAACTGTTTTGCTGGTCTCACCAATATCGGGAAGTACCACGGCGGATGGAATCCGCTGTTTTTCGGGAAAGCCGTTTCCATGTACACGGCGATCGTCAGGTACAGCACCGTGTCGAACACCAACATCAGCATGATGTCCACGATGCACATTTTGTCGTCCGGCGACACGGTCATCGTGATGTTTTCCCACGTGAGTCCGACGCCTATGCCTTCGAACATGATTAGACTCTGGAATATGTATCCCAACGCCGTGTTGGGAAATATGGTCGACGCTAGGATCTCTCTGTTGGTCATGGACGAGTACTTGGGCTGGAAGATCATGAACGGCGCGTAGGTGCCGAACCACAATACACCGCCGACGGTTGCCGCCGTGTTGGCTAGACGGGGGAAAGATAAGAAAAAAAAAAAACGAAATAGTAAATTAATAAACAAAACGAAAAAATCCGATTAATCAACCTCAGCATCACAGATGCGCACGCACGCGTCCGCATTCACACACACATACACACACACACACACACACACACACACATACACACACATAGCGCGTACGTGTAAATCATTCGAAGGTCTAATTATTTAAGAGCAGTGTTACGCGTGTACGCATACAAGTGTAAACGCACTCGTACACTCGCGCCCGAACCCACTCCGATCCCTCTCTCGCTCAATCTCTCTCTCTCGCACACGCGTACAACAGCACCTTGGCGATATGTTAATGAAACGGTAATTATTGTTATTTTATTTACGGTGCGACGAACGACTATCGTCGTGTTATGCGACAACGTTTATATACGTATATATTTATATGTATTGTTCACAATGCGTACGCCAAAGTCGTATTGTTTTAACGAAATATTATTGTAATCGTATTTTACGATCGTGAAATATATACGTATATCGTAGCAATCGTCATCACTTGGCGCGACCCTAACCTTTTTTGAAGCAGGCTGATATCAAAAAGCAAAACGATATGCTCGCCATCACGTAAAGGGTCAGTATGAGCATCAGCACCATTGGATCGGAGTACTGGAACACTGCGCCCGACGGCCATTGGAACGAGATGAAAAACACCAGCAGCAACAGGGGTATTATCCACACGATAAAACTCTTCAGGTACCACGCGCTAGCGTGCAGCCAATTGTCCAAACCCATGAGCATCATGGCCTCCTGTAAGACAAAAAATACGTCGATATACATGGTACACGCATACGCCTAGTGTCCACCCACATATCCACTCGCGCATGCAAATTCGCGAGACGAGACTAGCACAAGGCCGCCCCGCAGAGAAGACGTTATTATCATAATAATTCCGTGACTTGATCAGCGATGAGGACGCGCAGTCGTAACGATAATAATAAATGATTACCGTCGAAACGGTAACTTTCGCGTGCTCGGAAGGTTCGGTGGCGGTGACATTCTTTATAACATTACTTTTTATTACCTTCATTTTCAACTCTTTTTCGGCCGACACCACTTTAATGGTGTTGATGGCGGTGTAGACGTAACTGAGCAACACCACGGTGGACACGAACGACGTGAGCGCCGGCAGCAAAGCGTCTTCGATGTACTTCGGGTACGGGAACCTTTGCAACTCGATTTCCGGAACTCCTTCGCCCGGGGCCCAATAGTTGATCAGCGAGTTGGAGATCTGGTTTTGCAAGAACAAAAACGATTCCGACAGATAACCTAAATGCGCGTAGAAAAACATTAAAATTAACCACGCACTTGAACCCGTATGCGCACACAGCAACGATTCGACAATAATAATATAAAGCAATTATGATATAACCGTTATCATTCCACTGCGGTCGTACAATTATTACTATCATCGGCATTTTACCTGGTTCGCCTCCGTTGTTTTCCGACTTGTGCCTTGGACCGAATGTCTGGTACAGAGGAAACATTAAGTAAGTTCGCCAGTTCGCCTCGATCGTATCGAAGCTCATCAGACTTTTTTTCGTTATCCTCAGATGACAAGGATACCTGAGTTTGATCTACGTACAGCCAAAATGAAACGGATTAACAGATGCACTATGACACGTAATATAAAAATAACGTGGTACGGATTTGTCACTTACGACTATGGTTTTCGGTATGGTGGTGTTCGGGGTGATGTTGTCGAATCGCATACCGACCAGGAATTTTTTCATCGCGTTATCCTGATTCAACAAGTTTTCCATCCTCTCGATGGTGTCGAACGACTTGACTGAAAACGGATGCAATAAGTTTAAGAAAAAACAAAAACACGTTTAATATAATAAACTGTCCATCGGACAACATCATTATATATTTATGTATATATTTTATTCTCATACAATATGATTCCGGACTTACGTTTCAGATTAGGGATGTCGGTGAAAGCGTTTTTCAAGACTTTTTCTAATACCGGATGATGTGGAGCCCATGCTATGGTCCATCTGTAAAACAATTATTACAATGTCATTATTTTTTTTTTTTTTTTTCATTAAACAAATCTATTATTTACGGTATTGCTGCTGCTGCAGTAGCAGCAGCTATCTTGTGTGTATGTACGATAATAAAATTAATATTTGTGCGTTCAAGGGTATTGTGGATTCTTTATTAGAGACATCGTCATCGTCGTCGTCCGTAGTAGTGGCGGCAGCGGTGACGAATAAATCAACAACGAAATAATAATAGTATAAAAATAATAATTATTATTATTATTATTATTATTATTACCATTATATTATTATTGCCGTATTATTTATGTGTTCGCGCACACAGTTTGATTTTCACCGTTGAGACGCGCTAATCCATACAGTCATCACACTGGATTTCATTTCCTCATATTACCGAACCCATTGTCGTGTACGTTATATTTGTCCGATGGTGGTGGGGAAGAAGGAAGTCGAGGAGGGAAGGCACGCAATATATCGCTGCTGTATTATTGCGAAACCCTGCTCGCGCCGCGTGAGGTCCCCGCGCATCATCATCGGATTTTCGACGGAACGCGCTCCTCGCCGGAAATATAATACAATACAATATAATAGTGCGTTCACGTTCTTTTTCATGTGCCTACCCGTATATTTACGCGTTTGATATTCAACACCGACAGCGTTGCGATAACAGACCACCAAGAGGGGAAAAAAGTGCACGTTCGACTTGGGGGATGGACTTTTTTCACGAGGAGAGGGACAACAGCGATGTCGATATAGTCCTCAGAATTTTAAATTTCGTAACACGTGACCACCATGGGATGGGCACCCTTGCAGTGTAAGGTTCATCACTGCGCAATACTTGCTATTGCTATATACTAACCTGCCATTAAAGTATTATAATTCAACTCACCCGTGCCTGTAGCCCAGAATCAACGGCGGCACCGATATGGGGAATGGTTGATATCTGGTAACTTCGGTGAACTCGACGGGTTGTACCCACGACCTGAACATGACCATCACGCACGCCATAATGGCCGGCAGCAGAAGTTCGATGAACGACTGGATGGGGTGTCTCCTCTGTATCAGCAAATTCTTCCATAGCAAAAGTTTTAGTTTCTTGAAATCCTTTTTCCACATTACTGCTAATGTGGCGCCGGTTGGTCTGGAATAAATAAAAAACAAAACTCGATCAGTACATAGTCACTACGTGTCATTCCGAGGTACCTAGTACCCTAGGTGTTCTAGTTAGAACAGGCTTTCCGTTCGACCGCACAACGTACAGTAAGTTACATAAATATTGAATATTAGATTTCTATTCCAATCGAGTAGCAATAATAGCCGTAATTACAGTAAAACTCGCTTAAGACGCTCTTTAAGGGACCATCTCACTAGAGCGTCTTGAGCGAGAAAGCGTCTTAAGCGGGAATAAAAATAAATAATAATAATAATATTTATTTAGCAGTTTTGAAAATTATAAATATAATTTTTATATTTTGACGTTACATTGTAACGTTTATCACTAAAGATGTTTCCTTGTTTTTATAGATGTAAGTCTCAGAAAATAATATTTATATATATATATATAAATAATAATACATTAATAATATATGTGTATGTAATTATATATAGTATTATGATAACAAAAATAAGAGCATGTAATAATTAAATATAATAATAATAATATGATATAATATAAATTATGGATAAAAGAAAAGTAAGATAATAATATAATAGTTATGTATGGTAATTAGTTAAAAATTTACTTCGTTTGTCAATAACCTCCTCTTTATTAATAATTTGAAAATATCAAATGTTTGACAATTTTTTTTATAGTATTAGGAAAATAAATAAAGTCATTAAAATACCGAATTTATTTTTTTATAATTTAGGTAACATAATTTAACAGGTAAAACATTTATAAATATATGATTGCATATATTTTTTCTATTGAATTTAATTAAAATATAAATAAATACGTTTATCAATATACGCATGTATTTCTATTATTATTTTTTTTTTTGTTTTATAACATATTAAAAAAAAATATATCTATTTTTGTTTGCTTAAAACTCTGACAATACTTTTCGAATTGCAGATAGGTATTATAAATCAGCAATAATTGTAGGAGTTGATACTTGATTGTCTTAAACCTCATAATTCGATTAAATACGTACAGTACTCTTAAACGAGTAAAATTTCAATTTTTATTTTCACATAGTTACTGCACTTTGTCGTAATCTGCTGAACAAAAGAGCATCTTATCCGATTAGATTGAGAAAAATCGAGCATCTTAACAGGTAGTTTTTGCTTTGACTAGCAAAAAATATGTTAAGGGACCGGCAGAAAACAGCGTCTTAAGCGAGTTTTACTGTATACTGTGTAGTCGCTGATGACGCGCCCCATTCTTACTCGACGCTTTGCGTTTATATATCACATTAATTTTGTTTTCTTTTATTTTTATGATTATATAAATCTATGTTCGATTATTACAGTTGAAGTAATACTTTTCTTTGCATAACTGAAGAGGAAACAACGAATTGGTTCACCTCCGACGGACTGAATATCATTAATTTATTTTTAAAGTTGAACAAGTATTCTCATAAGTGTTTCATAACATGAACATAACATGATGTAATACTAATTTGAATTCAAGTTTAAATGTTATTCGCATTATACAATCTAATTTTACCAATTATAAATGACGTGTACAAAATCTAATAAAATATTACATTTGTATGATTATTATTCTATAGAAAATATATTTAAAAACAATTTTCAGTAAAGAACGCGTGCATAGTTTATCGGTCGATTATTAACCACATATTTGATAAAACTTCTAAGAAATCGATCCTTTAAAAAATAAATATTAACATATAATTAAAGGTTTTTTTTTTTTTTCGAGAAACGACATAATAATTTTAGTTGAAAATAATAAAAACTATAAATCTTAATAAATAAAATAATAATAAAAAGAAAGTGACAGTAAAAATAACGTACGCGACAACAAATATAACCGGTACCTCAACTGCGTGCGTTTGAATTAAAAGTAACACGACGGTGTTATTGCAGACGAAAAATATTATTACTATTGTAATGAGATAACTCTAACGCGCCCAGATCGGATCACTGAATAATACGAATAATATTATCCAACGTTAATGTGGAATACGGTCAGGAAGTGTGTGTGTGTAATATATAACCTGAACCCGTTTTTTTTTTTTTTTTTTTTGTATTTCTTTCCCCACGATACCGTTTGATGTGAGACCAGTCAATAAACCTTGTTTTTATACGTTTGAAGATTTTATTTTATCCTTCGTTTTTTGAACTGGGTGTACCGGGCGAAAAAAAAACTAATAGGATCGAGACCGTGTACCACCTATATAGTGAGAACATGTCCAGACCATAATTTAGACGAAAAGGGTGAACCAGGGGTTTCCAATTATTCGTCGATTAGACACACCGCGTCTGTGATGGGAAAAGTAAAAAAAAAAAAAATAAAGAAAAAGAACAAAAACAATAGCAATTGGATATCGAACAAGCCGACGGAAATACCAAAAAAACCAAAAAAGGGAGAAAAATATTTGAATTTCTTAAGAACTGATCGTTTACGTAAACGACGTTATAACGTGACGCGTGTTGTTGATCAATTCGTATATGAACCGAAATCCAAAACGATGTTTCACCTCGCAAACCGGCGCACGGCGTGGAAACAATTAGAATCGTGCGTGTCGATCGATTACGGTTTTCGCGCGCGCGAATCTCATGAACGCGATCGATGCGCAGCGACGTACTGATCGATCGAGCTGTAGGAGCGCCGCGGTCATTCCGGTCGGACACGAGGTTAAAAAGAGATGTATCGGAAATCGCACCGGCGATCGTCGGGTTCCGCAGAAACGCTAAACGAACGCAAGTAGTGCGAAAGGGAAAACGATAATTTTAAACGAAAACGGCACCGAATTGAATGGCAGTTATCGTACATCAGAGCAATGTTGGGTATAGGGCCGCTGCGCACGGTCCCAGTTCTAGAAAAGTTCTAGAAGTTTCAATGAAAATAATGAAAAAAAAATTCAACAGATCTAGACGATTTTTGTTCACCCGAAGATTGTACTGAACTGCAAAAATAATTATTTCGCACGAGCCCGCGGTAGCTAAACTACTCGAACGCGACGCGAACTCCGGGCACAACGGTTGGCCGTCGGATACCACTGAAGGTGCGAATACCGCGAAGGGGATCGTGAACGGTCGTTACCGCGGATACCGTTTAATCGTTGACCGCGGTTTTTCCGGGAGGAAAAAAAACCGCGGACCGCTTACGGTTTCCACGACGGTGCCGACGCGCCCGATAACATGGCTGCGTTTCTGCCGTGCAATACAGATAATAACTGCGTACGGCGGAAACCGTTTGCCAACGAAGAACGGGGAAACGATTTGCGTGCGCGAAAACGAGAAACACGATCGTTCGGAGAACGGAAAAACAACCGTTAGCCGTGTTCCGCAAGCAGTGCCGCAACTACCGGATGTGCAAGGTGTGCATTGCACATCGGGCCCCAAACCGTTATAGGCCCCACACGATGCATTATAGACATTATAATGATTATAGACTTTTTAACCGAAGTAAATTGATAAGTGTAAAAAACTGATTTATCATATTATTAAATATTTATAATCAAATAACATACCCAACTATTAACTAGTTGCCAATGACAAAATGCAATATGATCGATTATAAATACTATTATATTAGGTACTTGAGTATTTATAATCCTATGGTAATATTAATTCTTAGAACAGAAATAGCAGAAAATAATGCAGATCTACATTAATACAGGTCATTTAAGATTAAAGATCCACCAGACTATCTTCAATGATATAAACACCGGTTAACGTATTTTATTTATAGTATGCAAATAATTTTTTGAAAAAATATTTTCGCCCCAAATTCAGATTTGCATACCCCAGCCCCGTAGTGTGTAGTTGCGGCACTGGTAAAATAACAACAACGAAAACTACGCGGCGTTCCGACGCGGTAATACGAAACACCGACGTTCGCCGTCCGGATAGTTATGTACCCGGCAACGGTTTGGTCCTCGCGCGGACCGCGGACCATTCGAAATGCCGTCGGCGAACACCGGTAAGACACGAATTACTGCACACTGTGTACGCGTACGCGCGTACGTAACGAATTATGTCGAAACGAAAGAACTGTAATCGTTAGGGACATCGAATGGAAAACAGTCGTAACTGATCCGAACGAAGGCCCGGATTTCTAGGCAGCGCGAACGAGGGGGGGAGGGGAGAGGGGTGGGGGAAATGAAACTAAAAACGATAAAAAGTTCACGATACGGAAGCGGAGGTCGCGACGAGAGACTGCTATTGCGGAGTGTTTATCTTCAAACGCGATATCACCGTTGCCGTTCGACGTCACCCTCGGCCACGGTTGACTCGTCGCCCGGCGTTAACAACAACGTTCTTATTCGTACCACATAAAGGCTCGTACGACTGCAATAGAACGTTACGGATGGTTTGTAATTGCGTCGAGAGAAAAACGAGATCAACGGCACCGGCGGGTAGTCCGGGGAGGGTAGGGGGATCGAAATTGAAACGGAAAGAAAACGTATCGGGATAAAACACTCGGCGGATACGCCTACGCAGATACATAAAGCGTCATTTGTGTGTCACCAAGCGACGCGTGTACGAATAATCGTGTTTTACGTGCACGCCGTTGGCCGGCACTCGGAGATATTGTACTGCGAATCGTTGTAGAAATATTGTAATGCTATTTGTTGCGCATTATCCGGATCGGATACAGAAAAATGACTGAAAAAAAAACCTTCGTGTCCGAATCGTTATCGCACGTGATTATTTTCGTGTTACGTTATTTTACGTTACGCTGCAATACATTGTGGTAATCAACGTTTTAATCTCGCCCGCAACAATATCCGACCGACCGGCCGATTGTCGATCAAGGTCGTGCCGTGCACCCCGTTCGGCTCTCTCCTGCTCTGCCCTCGGACAAACGTGCACACCCGCGAAACTCCAAAACAACGCGAGCGACACGTATTTGGCGTAATCGTATCGAAACGATGCGCGCAACGAAAACTTTACCGAGCGCCGCCACCACGTTTTCTCTCCGTTTCACTTTCTACCGGCCGGCAACACACC